AAAATAGCCTACTACTTCTAAATTATGATGCTTTTTGATGTAAAAATCTTGATAACATTATAAGTGGACCTCAGAGAACAGTACAAAATAATAAAAAAGTCAGTTCATGACTCCTTTAAGTTGAAGTCTAAAGCAACTGCACAGATCTAAACAAATTGGAAAATAAAGTTTCATTTAAAACCAGATGTTGAAAGCAAACCTAAAGCCGCTGTGCAGTCTCAAAGAGACATCTCTAGTGGTCCACACTGAGCGGCTGTCCGTAAAGCTCTGCTCCATCGGGCCACTGGCCTTCCACTGGTCCACTCGCTCAGCTGCTTGAAAACGACCTGCCACCAAAGATACATGGTCACTCCACCTTCATTTCATGATGTAAAGAGTACCTTGCATACAAACAACTTCACCTTTCATACTGAAATGTTTAGATGTCAAAAGTTGCAATGTATGAACAAGCAAACAGTCTTAAGCAAACACCTGCACACCATATACACATTATTCTGCTTGAAACTTACGGCTCCTCTCCACAAACACCTTCCCCACAGGCTGGCTCTGTCCTTGGGGAGCGGAGAACAAGGAATGCTGGGGGACAGGCACCTGGGGGTCTGTGATGATATCATCATCCTCTATGTCCAATTCGTTGTTGGACTGTGTTTCTGTGACTTTAGGTTTCACTCTGGAGAAATGACAAATTAAATCCAACAGAGCTTTCATAAAAAACGACACATCAGTGGTGCATGAAAAATACCTGGAACCTTTCAATAACCTGTTTAAGGTTAAAAAAAAAAGACTTACTTTCTCTTTTTTGGTTTGCGCGTCACCTCTTCGTCGACATGCTGATCCACCATATCTCCATTTGACACCAGGTCTGTCTGATCTCCCTCCACATCTGACCAGTAAGAGCAAATCAGCATTATTTCTGGGGGGTCTATGTTAATAAACTCCCACCTCTACAGGTATCAGATGAATTGTAGTGAACAGGACATGGTTTTGAACAGTGTTTCTACCAATTGCTTGTGCTTTCTTCTTCTTTTTCCTCCTTTGTGGCGGATTGTCCACAGGTTCTGGGCTCAAAGGTTCCAGACATTCAGACTGTCTGTGACTGGTAAGCCCTCCCATTTCCATTCCACCATCTACAAAGGTCAAGGGTGAAACAAACTCATCACATGCACACACCATGCTTCTACAGGTGATACCAAGCAGTCAAGTTTGTCTGGTTGCAAGGTCTAGTATCCAGACTCTGCTGGAAGATGTTGTTCCAAAAAAGCATCTTTCTCCATCTTTTTCTCTCTTTTGAAAGCCATTCAAAAGTAGCCATGTATTCTACTATGTAAAATGTGCAAACAATTCCAACACGGATTGGAAAAGCAATGGCAACACAACTTTAATTTGCTGATTTAGTGCACTGCACTACTTTAAACCACTTAAAGACCCAATAGCTTAGAAGCACTTTTGCACCAACATGCCAAAATGGGAACCTGCCAATGAATAGCAGCTTGAAGACAAAAATAAAAATAAAGTTAAATATTTTTAATAATTATGCACAAATCAATGAAACCGTAAAAGACTAAATACAAAAATATCAAACCATTTGCCATCAAACCATATTATATTTGTTCATGAACACATTTATTATCTTCAATTGTTTCCCAACAGTTAAATATGGTTTGAAGGATATGACAAAAAATATGGTTTGAAGGATATGACAAAAGCATCCTAATTTATGATAGTTTTAAAATGGTGTTTGAAAAATATAGTTGACTAAAACCATAGAAAGTAGTTTAACTTGTAATTTAAGTTTTGTTATTTATTATTGTTATTTAATAATAAAACTAAATGAACTAAAATGTATAAATAAAAATCATTTAAAAACTAATTAAAATGACAAAAACAATCAAAAAGTTCCCCAGTAAAATTATTACAATTGTAAGTAAAATTATTTAAATAAAATCTCATTCAAAATATTAACAAAAACTATAATAATATATCAATGATACTAAAATAACACTGGTTTGAAACAAGTCATTGGACGTTTGACCTTACAGTTGCTGAGATTTAGCACTTATGACAACTAGCCCCACTCTCTCCTATCATATGTGTTGCTTATATCACCTAAACTCACCATCATGTTCATCCACACTCTCCACATCCCTCTTGGCCTTCTTTTTCCTACTCTTTGGAGCAGGAATCTCCTCTTTGAAGGACAACAGAAGAGCTTCATTACATAATCTAATGTTAACTGACCAATAAACGGCAATTTTACCTTAGGCAAATCAATCTAACTGACTCGTCATCAAATTTTAATCATTATTACCTACTCAAATACATAATAAGATTGGACCAAGAGATCTCAAATGTGGAAAAACATTTAAAAGAGAAACACTCACCTGCTGTGTCCTGACTGTGCGTTTGAAGGTATAATGAAGAAAGAGGAAGGAAAAGAAGAGCATATGACTTCCCTGTATAAAACAATTACAATTTAAACAACATCTGATCTGCTAGGTGATCTTACCTTGGCATAGATGGCAATGCTCGTGGTCCCCGCTAAAATGTTCAAAAGTAATATTAGGTTAGCAATAAAGAGTTCCAATGAAACTCAAGTATCAGATGCTGAACCTGTTGAGGGCTCTACATTTGTATATTGTGTCTAACAAAGCTTACCGTTGGCTTTTTCGCCATTCCACTCAAGAGTACAGGGGGAACACAAGGGACATGTACAAACAAACATCTCTGAGCACTTAAAGCAAGGATTAATGCGAGTCTAAATCTGAGACGAGCATCTGCCAAGCAGCAGGATTATGTAAAGGAGGAGCTACTCAGGAGTCACCATCAAATACTGTTACTCTACCTTCTGACATAAACACACACACCACCACCACTTACTTACTTACTTATGTATTTATTTAATTAAACAGTATTTTGGACAAATAAATGCAGTCTTGATGAGTATTCAGTTCAGGATTATTTAATGAATAGAATGTTGAAAAGGACAACATTTATTTGAAATAGAAACATTTTTATAATGCCTTTACTTTTGATCAACATGAAGCATCACATTAATGAAAATTTAAATGAGAATTATGCTTAAATGTAATGAAAATAATGTAAGAATACCTTTAAAAAAAACCTTAGTAGCCCCCAAATTAGGATAAATGTCCTTATGATTTAGGGGTCAAATATGATCTAGGCAATTCTCAACCATTTTTGTGAGATTTACCCTTTTACCAATAAAAGTAGGTTTATCTTCTGAGATTTATTCTGTGTATCTAAATGTACATGTTCACCCTAGCACTGACTGTATTTATTATTGCATTTATTTGCATTAATAAGGTATTGCTTCAATCCAGACTATATATTCTATAGTCTTTGGTTTTAAGCATAATGCAAGAGGTTTAAACAGATTGCAATGGATAAACCCAGAAAGCCTAGTCCTCAACATTTACAAACCTACAGGGGGAGCAAAAGCATCTGACTCCTAGAGAGTTTACCTTTATGACTACTGTTGTGCTTGTCAATGTGAAGCTTGTACTCAGTAAAATTAAAAAGAAATGAAAAGGCTTATCAACAACAGCTCAAAGGCTTAACAAGAAGAAACAAACACACAGGCTATGTTATGAATATCCCAGACTTACCCTCTGTCCTTGAGGAATGGGAGGGAGATCTCTTCTCCTTGTGCTGGGAACCTACAATCATATAATATAATAATAATATTTAAACAACAGCTCTGAACATGCACACTAAAGGATGAAGTAGTTTAATTAGCGTCTGTCAGTAACTGCTTGCCAACAGAACACGATGCTTCTCATTTAAGCACGTAACAAACCTTTGCTTCCGTATCCATACTTTGGAGTTGAATAACAAAAGCTTTGTCGAGTTAACTACTGAGCAAAAATTATCTTTGTATTTTCATGTCGTTTGTGGTCTGAGATTTTGTTTTGCACGTTGTCTATTGTTGATGTTGGAGACGGGTGGGCGTGTCTAACTTCCCTGACGTACTCTACGTACTAGAGGCGCGCAGCAATTCAGAACGTAATTATACGTATAAAAGGGCAAGACAGATGGCTGGAAATCATACTACAATGTACACAAAAGACTTATTACACCTACGTTTTAAAATAATTGTTTATCTAGAAAGACTATATGATCCTATTATATCTTATTCTTTTTATTTACAATTATTTTTGAAGAAAGTCTCAAGAGCTGGAAAATATGCATGTCAAATATGCAAGTTTGAAAAAATAATAATAAAAAGATGTTTGCTAAATATTTATAACTGAATTTATGACTGAAATGGGTAAAACGTTCAGTTATTAAAAAAAATAATAATTTAATAAATAATATATATATAATTTACATTAAAGAAGTCATTAATTTTAATGCTAGTGGTGTTACCTTAAAGGGGTCATATGATACGATTTCAGTTTTTCCTTTCTCTTTGGAGTGTTACAAGCTCTTGGTGCATAAAGAAGATCTGTAAAGTTGCAAAGACTAAAGTCTCAAATCCAAAGAGATATTCTTTATAAAAGTTCAGAGTCAGCCACGCCTACCTAAAACGCCTCGCATTGACACCTAGTGATTGAACTAGGTATTGCAGTCCAAATTCAAAATATTGGTGAGGGTTTCTTCACCCGGCCCCTCCTCCACAGACTTGACGCACACGCAGGTTGCCAGCTTGAAGACAACAACAGGAACGAGCGCACTTGACGATGAATGAAATGAAATAGGATGTGTTTTATGTCAACTGGCAACCCGAAATACAATTGGGTAAACTGGCAGTCTACTCAATATTCCATTTCAGATGGAAATACGTCACTACACTGAAATAAAGTCGGCAGCAACTTAGCATGTTTCTTAAATATCTGCAAATATATTATGGTATTTTTATGCTTTAGTAGAGTCAAAAACTTACATACAGCACCTTTAATATAGAAGCACCTGTTTTTTATGAATAGACTTTAATGGAAAACCTTAAAAGGACATCTGCATAACATTAGGTGTGAAAAGTTTAATTTCTTTCAAATACCACTGTTTCATTAACACATCAACTCAAGTGACCTTAGTTCAGTTCTTCTGATTAACGCCTTGTCACTCCAGACCTGAAAATCCTCACAATCAAATACAGTTTAAAACGGATTAAGAGTGCTCAAAAATACCAAATCTCTTTTGGAGAGCTTAATAAATGTTTAGGTTTTATTTATTTTTTCACAAGGGCGAAGAAAAGATTGACATCTGAAAAAATGTAAACATATTTTGCATTCAGACGAACATTTTACAGACAAAACACATTATCCTCACCCAAAAAAAAGTTGAAAAGAAAGTTTATTTGCATGTTCATGCCCATCCGCTCTCCTATAGTATCCCTGAGCTCTTCATATTAAGACTGGTCAGTTGGTCTGATCCATGCAGCCGGTACCCACTGTGGTTCATCCTGAGCTCTCCTCACTGCGGTCAGCAGCTGCACACATGCGGCCTGCAGGCCGTCGTTTACTATCACATGATCAAAGAACTGACAGTAATGCTGTTCCATATTGCGTCCTGCATCTTCTATCTCCTGAAAATCTTCATCCTGTCTCTCGAGAGAGAAAATACAGAGATTAATGGAAATACTGTACTTTTAAGACACTAACCATAAATTGAAAGGTAAAAAATAAATCGAGTGGACATAGGTAAAGATGCTAGCTCACCTTAAAAGGTCGGCTGGTGTAGTAATTTGTGATGATATGCGAGTTCATTCGTGTGCATTTCATCTGCTCAACAGTAGGAGGCTTTATAAAGATGGCATACGCCCTCAGCTCCGCAGTCCTCACTGACTCTAATGCCTGGAGATCAAGAACATAGAAAGCATCAGAACAAGTCAGGTGTAATCCAGAAGAGACGACAATTATTCTTATTAAACAATTATTGTAGCATAATAATAGCACAATTCTCTTCCAGGGTTATTATTGTTTACTAAAACTAAAATGATTGTAGCATGTTTGTTAACTGAAATAAAGCGGAAATAAAATAAAGTATAAATATTAGATGAAAAACTTTAAATGAAAATTAGAAATGAACTGGGCAACTAAGTTGAAGCACTAAAATTACTAACTGGAAATAAAAACTAAAACTGAAACAAAAATGAATTAAACCAAAATAGTAATATTTAAATATGTAACATAGCGATAAGAAAATGATGAAAATGGCAAAAGCACACAAAAATTCCAGAAATGTAACTAAAATTAAAAGTTACATTTTTTCAGCTTTAGTTTTTAATTATTATTTTAGTTTCAACTTATTTCAGTAAGTTGCCATGGCAGGATTTCTTTTGTTCAGTTTACATTTTTCATCTACTATAATATTTTACATTTTATTTTAGCTTTATTTCAAGTAACTAAAATGTTTTTATAGTCTAATTTGTAGTTAACAATAACTAAAAATAGTATATAGTAGCATAGATAGTATATTAATAACCCTAAAACAAAATAAAATAACACTCTTCTCTTCAACAGATCTGAACACGAGTTAAGGGGTTGTTCCTAACCCAAAATATTAGCAATAAACCTTAGCAAGCGCCACTTATAACAACAGATGAATATAGTTCCAAGAGAAACTCACATATGGCTCAATGTCAATCACACAGATCTTCCCACTCGCCAAAACATCTTTAACCGCATCCACGCTAGTGCCATAGAGATGACCTCTCAACTCCCCAAACTCAATAAACCTGAGGAAGAAAGAAAGAAAAGGGTCACAGACCTACTTAAAATTACAAAACAATAGAAAGATTATACAGTCCCCCCAAAAAACATAGTAAATCTGGAAAAATTATCTGTTTATGCGCAGCCGAGTATATTTAGACCACCTGTGATTGCAGACCATGGTGTCAAACTGCTCTCGGCTGATAAAGTGATATTCTCTGGCAGATTCCTCATGGCATTTGGGTGGCCTTGTGGTATCTAAGTGGAAATGAAAGTCAACTTCAAAATCAGCACGCATGTACATTTTTACATATGTACAGTTATATCACACAAAGTCATATTTGTAGAATGAAACTCACGGGGAACGGCTCCTTGGTAGACCTTGGGATTGATCTCAATTAGCCTCCTGCGTAACTCATTTACTCCGACCCCAGACGGACCTGACGGCAGAATACGGTTTCAGAACATACATGATAATGCGCATGCAGGAACGCAGCTACAGTAAGTTGTACAAGATCTACAAGGTAATATGTGTATTTTGCTGGCTGATTTTAGCCCCGTGAGACACACTCACCCAGCAGAGCTATGAGGCGGTGTGGGTGCTCTGGATGGTGCTGGTACCGCACCACCTCCTCATACGGTTTGGCCAGTGAACTGTAACAGTTCGTGGGACAGCGTAGGGTGCAGGACTGGGACGTCCCAAATGCCTGACCTCTCCGTTGGCGACAGAGACGCAGACTTCGTCGAAAACCAGCTGGCATACACACAATAAGATGTACACAGAATAAAAGCACAATCATAAATGCAAAGAATCATATGAAAAGTTAATGAGTGGAAAGTGTTGTATTTCTTTTTTAAATGTAATATAATCAATGCATGTAATATGTAATAATGATTTTACAACCAAACTAACATCTAAAAAAAAAAAAGACAGCTTTTATATCATCTTCTACCTGACTGGTCAATATTCATTTATTTTAATCATTAGTATGTGCAAAATTTAGGTATCTACAACAAAGTCATAGCTAAACCAAAACCAACCAAAGTTGCCTTTATCTAGTCAGTGTTACGATGCTGTGAACCATTTAAATGTCATGGAAGCCCATTTCTAAATTGTGAGATGTACAAAAGTTGTAATTAGCTTTTGCCATTTTTTATGGTCCGTGGCAGAAATGGACTTCCGTAAATATGCTGTAGTAAATATAAACCCGTAAATTCTGTAATATCTGAGAGTCACTCACTCAGGTAAATCCCTTCAATATTGGTGCTGAATTCACTCTCCTCTGAAACACAACACCAGACACAGTTAATGCATCAATTGACAAACACAGAACAATTAGCAATGACTCAATGAAATAAAAATCAAATCAGCAACAACAATTAATATTAAACTTTATGATTTCTTCAGTAATGAGTTATATACACTCACCATCCTTTAGCTCTTCTGATGAATCATCATGAAGGAAACAGGAACAAAAGTGATCAGAGCCAATTTATTTACAGTATTTACTGCTGCATTCAAAAATCTGTAACCATACTTCATCTTTAATACCATATTTCTTAACAAATCTAGCTGTTTCTATAGTTCAGGTCAGGGGGCAGCTCTGTTAATGACGGAAACATTGACCCTAAATCTGAATTCAGTACATGTTTCTCCTGATATCTTCAGGACTTACCTACCAGATTCAAATGCCTCCTCATCTGCGCATTAGGAAACAAAAACACATATATATATAAGTATAACAAGCATTATATAGCTAAGGTTTTATTACTCATTTAAATCAGGCAAGAAAATACCTGCTTCTACACATTTTTCATCTATGGCATTCATGTCATCTTCTGTAAGAATAAAAAAGTGGGGGGAAAAAGAAAGATATCAGAGACTAAGGTCTGTTTCACACTGCACGCACAAGCAGTGTGCACAAAAATATTAAGCAGCACTACTTTTTTATTATTGATAATAAGAAATGTTTCTTGAGCAGCAAATCAGTATATTACAATGATTTCTGAAGAATCAATGTGACACTGAAGACTGGAGTAATGATGCTGAAAATTCAGCTTAGCATCATAGGAACGAATCACATATAACAATATAAATAAAAAAAGCACTTATTTTAAATTGTAATAATATTTCACAATATATCTGTTTTTACTGTATTTTGATCAAATAAATGCAGCCTTGGTAAGCATAACAGACATTTTTTCAAATACATTACTTCTTTCAAAATCAAATCTTACCAACTCCAAACTTTTGAACAGTAGTGTAGTAAATCAACTGGATTTACTGAATATTTAAAGTGCTGTTTATGTTCATGTTACGGTGTATGGAACTTGCATAAACCACAAAAGATGTATTGGGTGGGTAGATCACACAAACATTTTCCAAGATTCATAAAAGCCTATAATGCAAAAGACTTTGTTGATAAATAGTTACAATGTTAGAAACTATAATAAGTATTTAAAAAATGGTTTGTAGTGCATTTTTACCATATTTTCTGCACCCACACTTCTGCTAAACTCCTTGTAAGTCTATTTTGGTGGGCAGTGTGAACATTGTAACCTACAGGTCAGTGTATTTCTAGACTGGACTAAATGCTCACCTTCATCCACTGTGCTCACTGCAGGTTGGCATGGAAACAAAAGACAGCCGATACAAAACAGTTGAATTAAAAACATATTGAGTAAACGCAAATATAAAACAATAACAGCATATACTGTTTACTCACAGGTTTTGACACAAGTGTGAGGATGATAAGGCTGAGACCACCATAACTCTTTCTGCTTCCTACAAATGCACACACAGTCACATTTGGGTTTTAAAATTGGGGCCGGCAGTGATTATCAGCATAATCTCACATCACATTCAGGTCCGCTGCCAAATCTCATCACATCATCGCACAGCCTATGCTGATGTGTAATTATTGTGTCACCGACCTTTAACCCCTGACTACTTAGAACTGACCTTTTCAGCAAGCTGGTGGACGGAATGAGGCCAGCGCAGGCAGAGATACTGGGTAGTTTTACAGCCTGCCACCAGAGAGTGTCTGACTGATCCACAATCTCCAGGATATCTCCCTTCCTGAATGCCATGCCGGCATCTGCGCAGGGAATGGAAGGGTCCATGTGGGGATTGTAGTCCACCATGGCACGCACATACAGCTTGTGAGGAGAGCAATGCCATTAAAAACATCAGTAATATGCCAATGTGTTGTCACATGATGACCTCACTGCATGCATAATTCAATCCGTAGAATCTAATAATGTTTTTGGACATAAAAACAGTTATGTACTTTTTTCCAAGTTTGTATAAAATGTTTTTATTCTTGTTAATCTAATCAAATAATTATTAAAGATAAAGATGTTAAGATGGTTTTACTTCTGGAACATTCGTCATACTGCAAATTGAAGGTCAAAGCAAATGCATTTTGAAATGTTGTGTGCTGCACATTTGGGGAAAGTAAAGTAGTGTGTGACATTGTTTCAATAATTGGTTCTCCTGCTTTTTTGAAAACTCCCAGTGAGCCAAATATACTGTTTAATTCAGGGAACTGGATGCACAATATTTTTTTCAGACAGCTCTAGACTAATGTTGTATATAGACTAATGTAGATCTAGTGTTGACGTTTGTTAACTCACCATGGTTTGGTTGTTGACTGGCCTGTCAGTGATGGGAACCACCTTAAACATTATGGTTCCATGGGAGTGAGCCTGTGGTAGGAAATGAAGACACAAAAATGAATGAATATTTTTGATTTATCATTATTTACTTGTTGATCACAGTTTCCCCATTAAATGAAATGGGAATAGTTGTTGTTTGGTACAACAGATCCTTGGTTTAGGATACCTTGCTGTACCTTGATAGCACTGGTTGCTCTAGCACAGTAATGACAGATGAAGAAGAAGAGGAGGAAGAGGAGCATGAAAGGACAAATGAAAAAAGCGAGAGGATAAGGCAATAGCTGGACTGGTGGGAATATAGTGTTCTTTATCATAGTTGTTGTGTGGTACAGCACATCCTTGGTTTGGGATCCCTTACTGTAAAAAATGATGGTACTATTGTTTTCTGTAGAGCTACTTTACAGCTGAATCACATATTGCAAAAATGACGTTGGCATTGAACTGAATTCAATCGACACTGAACTGGCTAATGACATTGCTGCCTTTTGTAGAACTGCTTATAGCTGAATTGAATTTGTTTCAGATTGCTGACAATCAATACAGATCAATCTAAAGCTATAAAGGCAACTTGACTTGACACTGGTGCCGTGACCCGTATGGGAATGAAGCACACAAGTGTAACAGAATACCATGCTGTGGACCAACATATTATAGGAGAGTGTACTGTATGTGTACTAACCAGAATTTGTATAATCTGTTCTGGTTCCAATCCAAATACAGGATGGCCGTTTACCTCCACCAGCCTGTCTCCAGCATGCAAGAGACCTTCAACAACAAGCAAACAGACAAGAAACAGGACTCCATGAGAAATGTAATACTAATATACAAAAATAGAGAGTAGGGATTCAGAAAAAGAGTACAGCCAGGCAACCCTCACCACTGCGGTCAGCCAGTCCTCCATGTATAACACGAGCAATGTATATTTCTCCTGTCACATCATCTCTCCTGATTGTTGCTCCCTATATGTTAGAAGAAAGCAGACATCAATCCAAATATCTACAAGGCTTCATTTGATATGAATCAAGCACAAAATATGCATTCATCAAACATCTGATGGAAGTGGCATGACAGGAACAATATTCAATGACTAAATGAACTGCAATGATCTTTAAACAAAATCAAAAGAATAATCAAATAATTAAGAGAAATGATGATATGAGAATGAACAGTCATATTAAACCAATGAGAATGACCAATTAAAAAAACAAACAAAACACTAAAAATATCACTTCCAAAAAGGTTGGACAAGCACTAATGTGACAATGGTAAAATCAATGACCAGTGGTGACATATCAGATGAACACACACATATTAAAGATTTGAAAGACCTGCATGCTTGAGACAGCAAGAATATGAAAGGATGTTCATAAGCGTGGAAACGTGGAAGTGGCCTTATTCATTTTTCTTGTTTTTCTTTTTCTTCTGGCTAATGAAACATCTAAACGTGCTGCTATTCACTTTGCGGTTTTGGGCAGGGCTGGATGTCAAGGAGCCATTGGTCATCCGGTGTTGTACATCAACCTGTCTCCGTTGAGAAGATGGTGATGGATTTGTTTTGGCATTAAAAGATTTCCCCTTTGATAGCACTGGCTTCTCCAGCAAAGTGATGGCAGATGAAGAAGAAGAGGAGGAAGAGGAGCCAGAAGGACAATGAGGAAAACGAGAGGATGAGGCAATAGCTGGACTGTTGGGAACACTGAGCGATCTGCTACCCATCCGGTTAACCACTCTACTTGCAGTCTCTGTGCCATGTGGTGATTCTGAAGTTGTGTTGCTTGTGGATACTAGCTCCTGGAGCTTCTCCACTACATGCGTTAGCATCGCCAAAGCCTGAGACTTCTCCTGCACGCTCTCAGAGATGCGTTCAGTAGCTGCAGCCATCCTCTCACCAAGCAGGTGGACGTTTTCAGAACTGTGCTCCATGCAGCTGGTGGCCTGCTGCAATGTATTTCGCAATTCATTCAGACCTTCCTCTTTTGCCGGCCTTGTATGGGAGCATGTGATGGTCTCCCTTACCCGATGACAGTGCATTGGGCTTGGGGGAGCGGTTCGGGCGTGAGGGGTGGTTCTAGAAGGTTTTGGAGAAGGATTTGAAGCATGAAAGCAGCAAGATGATGAGGAAATCCATGGGGACGGTTGGGAAAATGTATGTAGCATAGAACTGCAATAACTCTTGTCCCCACTGTCCAAATTGTCAATCAAATTGTCTTCAGAGAAAGAATGAGAAATGAATGGTGAAATGGATGAAGACAAGAAGACAAAGAACACTAATTAGATAATGCTTTCAGCAGAGGCATACAAGTCGCAAATCTTGATGGATGTAATAATGGGAACCTCCAAATGCAGGGTTTTGGTCCTTACCAATTACAACAGAGCTACAGACACAAGGGGTGGAGGAACTGAGGCTCTGTTTCCATAATGTTTTGTTCTGGTGGCAACTGCCCAAAGCGTTGCAGTGGTGTACAGTGGTGGGAGTAACAACACTTGGGGACGCAGGAGTCTTGGTGGATGTGGAACCATCCAACACGGCATCTAAGCCTCCAGCCAGACGTCTCCCAGCTGAGAAGAGTCCATAGTGGGTTGCATGCCTTAAAGCGTCCCAGTGGCTTTGAAACTCTCTACCAGCTCCAGTCTATCCATGACAACACACAGCTCAAAGTTACCAGAAACACTTTTACTAGAACACTTGATCAGGTCAGCTATTAGTGAACTTAAAAAATTAACAATCTAAAACATAAGAAATATAGGAGGAAAAACATCATGTCTAAATATGCTCTTCCTAAGCAACAAGGTTTTTAACAATTCTTTATAACTGAACCTTGCTGCTATGCTGATCTGAAAGACAGGCGTCAGTAACGTATTGAAAGTGTCAAAATAAATCCCAGGTTAGTAAAAGCAAGCCTTAGATTTGCCTGCCACTCCTTTTACTGGTCATGCTCACCAGAGGTTGATTGTTTTTGACCAAGCAAACAATCCTCATGGCTTCCTCGTCTTCAGGCAGGTCTTTAGGCAGCGGTGGCAGATCTGGCTCATAGTCCCTCAAACTTACTGTGTCATGAGCCGAGAGAAGAGCCTGAAAAATACATGTAGTTTCTGGTATTTCTGTGGTCAACAACACATTCCAAACAACTAATTGAATACTGGAAGTGGTCAACTTTAAAACCTTCTAATTAAAAGGCACAACAACAGTGTCTATCAGCATTTACTGGCCCATAAAGTATGCCCTGAAACACTACAATAATGTCTGGCCTTAGACTTTAGAAAGGCTCTTTAATGAAGAGGGTGATGGCTAAGAAAATGACTTTGCCCCTCAAAACACCATGTATTTATTGAAAGAATGCTCACCTGTAGGTGGGGATGACCAAGGAGGGCATACAGTTCTCGAGCTTCATTTGAGGGGTTTTGGACTGCTAGCAAATCAGACAGAATCTAGAGTGCACAAAACACGAGTCAAAAAAACGTATTAGGAAATGAAAATGTATTGGTACAAAAATTTGGAGAAAAGACCAAGACCTCTAAGACAGGGGTGGACAACTCTGCCCCTTGAGATTTATTGTCCTGCAGTTTAGCTCCAACCCTAATCAATCACACCTGCCTCTAACTTTCAAGTCATCCTGAGACTTTGGTTAGATTAGATTGACAGTGGATCTTGAGGGTCAAATTTGCCCACCCCTGTTCTAAGACCTAGATCCAAACCAGACCAAGACCAAGGCCAACACTAGACCTCATAACCCCCAGATTCAGGCTAAAACCTAAACCCAAAGTCACAGAGCAAGAACGTCATGTTCATGTGATGTCAAGAGGTTGTAAGTCCAAGAATCTGATTGGTATAATCTGCAATGTTTGCAAGTCCTCAGGCACACCAAGAGATCAAGCTTTAGAGGTCATATTTTGAACCTCAACAAGGAAATATGAACTGATACTACAAGGTATGACTGGCACAAACTATGGCAAAAATTAAGGACAGTGAGAATGAAGCTGACCTGTAGAGAGAGTCCAGACGAATAGGAAAGATACGGTCTAGCTGGACTCTTTAGGTGCCTCTGTAGACATTCATACAACTGCAGAGAAAAAAAGAAGATGAACCCTTACTGGAGGAGATGAACCCTGACTGTTAGTAGGTGTATGTAGGATGGACTCTACCTTTAGTAGGGACTGCAACCAGGGGGCATTGAGAAGACTGTACAACAGTTCAGCTCCATTTATATCTTTATTGACAGAGCCCCTCACTTCAGCAATCACATGAGCCAAGATCTGTGTCAGGCCTGAAACATGTAATGCAAGCACCTTCAGAACTCCTGTTGGTTATATATGATGCTCATTTACTTCTTCAGCAGCTACAACAGTGCTAATGTAAGCATGCTGTTAAATATCAAAGCTAAACTAAAATTAAGCTGACAGCTTCCAAAATTAGCTATATGCAGCATCATACCTTTGTCTCCCATCTCCAGTGGAGCTGACCCAGGATCAGTCTCCACGTCTGGTCTCATTGTCAATCCTGGAGTGTTTTGGGGTTCAGGGAATGAAAAAATGATGCACTGAACCTCCTCATATACAGCTGCAGGAATAAGCATATGAAATCAATAATTGCTGATCAGTTGTTGCCTGCTATATTCATATGTTTATGCTGTTACATCCTCTTCACTGGTTTGTATAAGACGTTCTAACAAGAGCTGCGTTTCACAAAAGCACCACAAGCCTAAGTACCGTTGAACCATTGGCTCTGATGATCTCGATGATCTACTTAGCCTTACGATGCTTTTGGGAAATGCATTCTAGAACTTTTTGTAGTTGTAAATACAATTCATGTTTCCAGGTTTACCTTACTTTAGTGGTTAATATATGAGACATTATGATTTGGATATGCAATTAAAACCTTTACAGACAAATAACACCGGTAGAGATCAAGGCTAGTAACCAAAAGCTTGTAGGTCAAAACTCTAAGGATCATTGGTCCATAGGGACTGTCATTGTTCTTAGCGTATAATATGTTATTTTGGATAAACATGTGAATGATACATTTGCAAATGAAAGAAAATTAACTGGTTAAGGAGTAAGGGCTGATAACCCAGAGGTATTAGGTTAAATCCAGAAATCCCAGAATGGAGGTGGTCCACGAATGCCCTTGTCACAGTTTTGACCTTGAGCAAAACACTTAAGTACAGGTTACTCTAAGGGTCCTGTCCTGGTAATAACTGCACCCTGAGTGGCTTTGGATTAAAAAAATGTTAAATAACATTGTTAAATAACAATGACAGATGAAAGAGCATGTTTCTAAACATGATTTGTTATGATCACTGCAGGTGAATATTGGATATTGGAATACTGGAGAATGCAGGTGAATACTGGATATTAGTTTGCATATCTTTTGAACAAGACAGGTGCACCTAATTTCAGACTTTATGACTAAATGGGTGTGATATAAAACTCTTCACGTCATATTTTCAAATATCCTTTCTGAGAGTTACTGTCCTTTTAAAAATGGTTTTACCTCAGTGTTTCTGCATTTGAGTCCATTTGCATAACCAAATCTGATAGTTGACTGCAGGATATGTCTAGAATTTACATGTAACAATGTTGAATCCAACTGGAGAATCCCTGGAACTCACACAAGGAAGGGCTAATAATTACTGTAAATAAACAGCATTCTACATTTGTCACACAGGGAGCTTCCTCTTAGATAAATCTGGGAAGCAAGAACCACAAACCCACATCCAGGCAGAGACTTAAGTAGCAAATACTGTTCACTCACCTCCCTCTTCCCTCACGTTCCGTTTGTCTTCTCTGTTTAGATCCCAGTTTAGAATTTAACACACTGAAGAGCTTCTAAAGAAGGTTTGCATGATGATGGCCAGTTTTAACTCACTCAGATATGAACGTGAATAGTATTCCATAGCAGAGCACGGAAAAGTCCTCTTGGAAAAAAGAAGTGTAATCCCTCGCTATCCTGCTTAATCCCTTGCAAGCAAATGAGTCAACCGGGGAGAGAGAGTGTGTAGGAACGTGAAGGAGGAAATTAGGAAGGGAGGGATTGGAGAGTGTGTCAGGATGTGTCTGTGAGTGAATGTCCTTTCACATTCTTTCAAACGTCATTCTATCACAAAACTCCTTTAGGCTTTCAGTTATTGATTCATCATAACACGTAAACACTCACAACACATAATAAACATCTGATGATCCCACACTGAATACATTCTGCATCACATACGCACACATACATGGGATGTAATCCTCTTGATTAAAACAGCGGAGCGAATGACACAGTCACACTTGTTTTTTGATTTTTATCACACTGCCCATGAGGGGACAGGATAATGCGGAGACTCTCAATAGGGAATCGGTTCAGCACTGCAGCTGGAATTGCTTGCCAGTTCAGCGCTGAACAGGGTAAGGATCTGTCTCGGCCTGTTTAAGAGAAGTCGGAGTGAAATCGCACTCTGCAGTGGCCAAGACCCTCATCAGCAGAAAGATTCAAAAGGCTAAGCTCACCTTTGCTGAGAAGCATGTTGTGTGGAGTGAGGAGAACTGGTCCAAAATTCACTGAGAGCAAGTTTAATTGGAGTCTGATGGGAAACATTTTATTTGGCGACAAAGTTATGGCTAAGAAACCTACTGTGCTTTCCACAAAATAAAGTTTTTGCCTTTTGTCAAACATGTTAGTAGAAAGTGGTATATGCAGCTAATATTCCATTTAAAATTTGAGTGATGAAGATTAACAATATTTCAGAAAAAAAACTAGTATTTATAGATTGTTCTCTAATTTGATCTCCACAGTACTTGTGTGTTTTGCAGATGAGAGGAATTTAGATTTTAGGTTTGGAACAAAATGAAACTGAGTGAATGATGTTTGGATGAACTATCCTTTAAGTGGCACCTAATCATTGATATGGTCTCCCATATTTCTTTTACTGACTCCACTTTTTATTAAGAGTGGTTTGAAACACTTTATATTGTTTAAAGTCCAAATAAAACGAAATTCTGTTTAACACAACATGATCCAGAGCATTTTTATTTGGATGCCCCATGATTTATTTTTTTTTTTTTCCAATTTTCATAATTTGATACTTAATCTCATTGCTCTCTCTACTATCCAAAAATTAGTTTAACATAAAAAGTTCAAAGAGATGTTGATACTAACCCTTTAAGGCCAAAGCAGTTGTTCAAAAATGTGTCACAGATTTGTCCATTCTGACAAGCCTGCAAATAATAAACGCAAATATTAATCAGGCATAGGATAGCAAATAAATAGGCTTACGAACTTTTATAAGAAAGAAGAAACATTTACCATTTCTTCTTCATTTGTTGTTGACATCAATGGTCAAGCGACCAATCAAAATATGTGCTAGTTTGTAACTAGAAGCTATTATACATTTGTTATTATGCAAATGCAGCATGACTGTAATTATTTTTGCAAAAACAAATGCCAATGGAAGGGTTCAACAGTCGCTGGTGAACATGTTTTTGCCACCTTGACAGTGGAAATAGACCAATATAAATGCCTCTTAAATGCGATCTAAAACCCATTGACCCCAGCACCAAATGCAAACTTTTTGACTTGTTCAACCAATAAAGTTTTGGAAAACAGTTTTTGTTGTTGTTGTTGTTGTAATAAAGGCCTAGTAAAATACTGAAGATGACCATTTCAATTCCCAATCATTGTTTTATTGCCATCCATCTGAATTATGAGTCAGTAAACAATTGGAACAAACCGTATTCTTCAAAAATGACACAGAAACTTCATACATACTTGCACACACATACATTCATACACAGGTTAATATGCACACCTTGGCTCAGCATAGAAAAACTGATGTGGAAGTACAAACCATACCTTCCTGAACCCAAAGTACAACTATGAACTATGGTATTCATGCAACATCTCAAGTGTTAATGGTTGTAAACATCAACAGTCTTTCGTCATTACAGTTTTCACGATTACGTTTAGGAACATACAATCACACGCAAGCATCAAAATCCTGAACTCTGATTCTTGGAAATGGGTTTTGTGACCATTTATACAAACCCACCGTCCTTCTGGTGCTCTGAACGTGAAATACCCTGCAGATTATCTACATCGCTCAGATTATCTGTGCTGTAGCCAGATCTAACCATCAAATAAATAAAACAATGTCAATAAAAGAAATAATGTATTAGGCTGTTGAGTTTTAAAACGTGAGACTCGACTCGAAGCTATTGCTGGGTACAGAGATGTAATGACACAAGTCCATAACACTGTCAGAGGCACTTTTCAGAATACTTCACAAAAAAGAACTGATTTTAACATTGAATACTACAGTGCTTGCGTATGTCGAGTGACCTTTCTGCAATAACTGCTTAATTTAACAACAGCAAAATGCAGAAAATACATCTCAAGACCGAATTAGCTCAGCATGCAAATCTTGAGTGTTGTGGTTCACCACAGAGCAAGATCTTCAACGTCTTCTTCCAGTGTGCCAGTGACATTCACTAAAAAACTCAAACATTGCCGATGGATACTCTAATATGCAGAGGAAAGCTGAAACTATTCCAACCGTTTTCTGAAATAAAGATTTGAACATTTTCAGAAAACTGACCACAAAAATACTTCCCAGAAAGAAGAGTGCATCAAAACAAAACTGCTGTGCGAGTGCATAGAGAAAGAACAAAAAATGTGTTGACCTCAGTTTAGTGTCAACCATTTCAATCCTAAGTTCAATTTGGCTGAACCAAGAGCTTGTGAACAAAGATTTGTACATAAAGAAGCAGGTCACCGCCCCTGCGCAGTTGGTTATGAAAGCTCCAAATGGATCAGAAGTCAGCATTAAAAGTTAAAGTCCGCATTTTGTGTTTTTTTCTTGGACATTCATTAATAAGGCGCACATCTTTTTTTGATTTATGTGAACAGATTCATGATTTAGGTCCAAGGCAGTTTGCTGTTTGCACTGAATGATATAATAAGATCAGGAAAATTAATGTAGTAGAGGTAGATGACCATTATTTCGGATGTCTTACAGTACACTTATGAACTTCATACGTCATCAATTGACAGTTGACACTGGATTGACCAGTGTGTGCATGGAGGGAGAGGTGATCGTGACATGCTGTTCTTGAATGTCATTCATTCTGAGCCAACAAAGCATGGGCTCTTTAATAAAAGAACACTGAGCTGGAGTACATAAATACCTTTAACATGATGGAATGGCAGCAGTTAAAAAGCCTCGATAATGGCTTTCTGAGTGAGGAAGACACAAAAATGTAAAGAATAAATGTTAATAATTGCAAAACAACAGATGGACTTGCACATAAACTGGACTGTTTGAGTGTGAGAGCTCAGATTCCAATGGAATCAACCTCCTCGGCCATGTGATCCAGGCATGGAACATGATTGGCTCCTCCCACTTTGTGTCTTGAACACTTTTGATTGGCTGGTCTGTTTGTCAGTCATTCCACTGCCTTACCAGATGGGTTTGGAGAGATGTGTTCATTACGTGATCTTCTCATGCTGGATTTGATAGTAGCATGCCTGAGTGAGGAAGAGGATTTCAGAACAGCAATTGGTACACACACTGATTTCACACTGTATATTTGTAAGCCCAGAGATAACATGCTTATTTGCATATTTATGAGGATAATTACTTTAAATGGTAGATGACAACACATGTTTGTAGCATTTTTATCACGTAAATCTTAATCACTCCAATTAAGACATTATTAACTGTTTCTCTCAGTGGTGAACACATCACATAAAAGTTGCTGCAACTGTACCAAGCAAATGAATACTTAAAGGGGTCATATGATGCGATTTCAAGTTTTCCTTTCTCTTTGGAGTGTTACAAGCTGATTGTGCATAGATAAGATCCCTTAAGTTGCAAAGACTAAAGTCTCAAAACCAAAGAGATATTCTTTATCAAAGTTAAGACTCTGCCACGCCCCCCTAAAACGGCTCATTCTAACACGCCCCCACATATCTACCCCACTATGTGGAAATATTTGCATAATCCCGCAAAATGTGCACGCAAAGAAAGAAGGCATGGTGTCAGTAACCGCAGTTAGTGTTGAAGCAGCCATGTCAGGGAGAAGCTGTGTGTTTCTAGGCGAAAGCAAAAGCACTTTATTTAGCCTTCCGAAAGTAGATGCATTTAGGAATCTTTAAGATTACTTACAACAGAACAGCAATGCATTTTATGGACGACCGTTTCGTGAACCTAGGAGAGGAGGTAATGCGGACTTTGCTATGACAATCTGGCGCTTCTGAATCAGCTACTGTTTTGTTATTAGTTTAAATATTTGCTATTGACCGTTCAAATGCGGAGTTTTGCGCATCGTGTGTGTGAGAGAGAGAGAGAGAGACAGGGTCACATCACAGTGGAGTCAGCTGTCTTAACCGTGGCTTGTGTACTGCAAACACATACCAGCTTCATCACTGTGTCTGTCAGATCACAGAAGACAGATACACTTACTAGGCATAAATGTGGTATTATACAGGTGCATCTCAATAAATTAGAATGTCGTGGAAAAGTTCATTTATTTCAGTAATTCAACTCAAATTGTGAAACTCGTGTATTAAATAAATTCAGTGCACACAGACTGAAGTAGTTTAAATCTTTGGTTCTTTTAATTGTGATGATTTTGGCTCACATTTAACAAAAACCCACCAACTCACTATCTCAACAAATTAGAATACTCCATAAGACCAATAAAAAAAAATTTTTTAGTGAATTGTTGGCCTTCTGAAAAGTATGTTCATTTACTGTACATGTACTCAATAACTTGGTAGGGTCTCCTTCTGCTTTAATTACTGCCTCAATTCGGCGTAGCATGGAGGTGATCAGTTTGTGGCACTACTACCAAAATGCATTCTTGTCTTAGAACAACTTTGATTTGATTTTTTTTTTAAATGCATGTATGTGTGTA